TCTCAATAAAACATGTTAAATATGATTTATAAATAAGATCCGAGAGTACATATGTCGGAATAAACTTTAAAATAAATTGAGCTTCAAAATTTTGACCTCTTAATAAAAATATTTCGAATTTAAGGTTTAATAGGAAATTAAGTACATGATTCATGTAATGTAACGTGTTTGTTTATACTTACGCGCGCAAATATCAATTTATGAATTTTTGAGACAAACTGTTCAATTTTATTTTTGGATGTGTGAAGTCTTCAAATTTTGTCGGCTTCAACAGTTCCCAATGGAATCTTAGAAATTCACCACTTGACAACCATAAAATGGACATTGACCCGTAAACCTCGGTGGACATACGTGTTATTTGAAAAAACTTGTTTCTCGATAATTTCTTTAAATTTATGTTTTCGCCTCCCTTTATTTCTTTGAACAGAATTTGGGTCTTTCGTACCACAATACAATACATTGTTGTATGTAAATAACTAAAGTGTAACATTATAGTTATTGAAATTTTTTTAGAATTTTAGGGTTAAAATTGATGTGAGGATTTTCAGCCATACATTGATCATAAAGCATTAGTGAGAGTCTCCACATCGAGAAAAGAATGTTTTTACTAACTTTTTTGTCTATTTTCTTTTCACTTAATATCTCTACCATTATATTAACTTTTAATGGTTGAAATTCGAAACTATATAAAAATATTATTATAATATTAAATATAATAAAAATTTATAATTACAAACTATTCGCATCAAATTTTAATACTATAAATTTATCTATCAATTTTATTGTTTAATATTTAATATTATAATAACATTTTTACTGAATAAATGTCACATGTTAAAGTGACGAGGGAAATTAATGAAGATGTTCCGCTTTCAAACCTTTGCGACATCAGGTCAACCCAACATATTGAAGAGAAGAATTTGTGTCATAAGGAGTCAACTCAAATAGGTCAAGAAGATAATTTAATATTTCATTTTCTAAGAATTTATTTGGCTCTAAATTTATTTTCTTTGTTTTATTTTCATTTCAATCATAATCAATTGGCAAAGTCAAGTCTTTTGCCCGGTTTGTTACGCTAATGGAAAATCAGTCTGTAAATGAGAACTTTGTTGGGGTTTATTATAGTGATATAATCATTATTCCCCATTTCCCATTGTTTCAATTTTTTTTTTTATAAATAGGGGCATAAACATTAAATCTTATCAAGAAAAATTATTATTTTTTAATCCCCCCTCATTTTTAATATCAAATACACCGATACTTGCTTTGTAAAATTGGGTCGAAGGCTCTAATTGAAAATTTTATTAGTGAAAAAGACGTAAATAAAAGTACCCGTATTTTGTATGTACAGAATTTGCAAAGTAAAATATCGGTACTTTTTGTGCATGAAAATTTATTATATTTTTCACACAAATAAAATTTTCAATGGAGGATTTTTTTTCCTAATTTTCTCATACTTGTATGGGTATTATTTTGTAACGTGTATTGTAAGATATATTCAGATGGAGTAAAAAAGTCTTACTTTCTCTATCACCATATGAATAGCTAGCCAATGACAAGAAATTTATAACTTGTTTAACGGTTTGAGGGGCATTGAAGTTAGAACTATTCAAGCACAGCCGATGATAAAGGGGCATTGAGGGTTGAGGAAGCAACTGAAAAGAATGAATAAGATAATTTAATATTGTTTTTTATTTGTTAACAATTTACTTGGCTGTGGGTTTTCTTTGATTGTTTTTCATTTCAATCACATCGCAAAAGGCAAGTCTTTTTTCCCGTTTGGTACACTTATGGAAAAACAATAACTGAAAACTTTCTAGGGCACATATTTATTATATACTTTTCTAATCCTATTTATAAGGCACTTCTAATATGCTTTATACGTACGAAAAAAAATTCAAACTATATTAACTCTTCATTAAAATATAGTAACTTTTCAACTTTATCCATATTTAATATATACACCTTTAAAAAAAATAACTATATACATTATAGTAAATGAAGGACAATATAGTACATTCATGGTAAAAATTTAATGAAGTGACTTATAAATAGGACAAAAAAACTTTCTCTCTCTGCCCTGTAAATAGAACCAAAAGAGTATATTGATATAATCATTATTCCCTATTTTTCATTGTTTTAAATGATTTTTTCTAAATAGGCGCATAAGCATTAAATTTTATCAAACAAAATTATTTTTTCATTTTCCCTTTTAATTTATAATATCAAACATATGGTATACTATTTTTGTGTGCGTATATACTCAAAATCAAAATTTTGGGACAAAAATGAATTAATGGCAACTGAACAATGAAGGACCATTTTGAAGCTTCTCACTTCCAAACCTTTTTTTTTTTTTTTTGTGACCAGATTACTTCCAAACCATTTAGCACGCCACTCAAACAATGCCAAAAAAAAAAATCTGACAAAAAATAATGCAAATTTTTTTTATTTGATAGTATGGTAATCTCTTATATTTTTCCCACACCTCTTGTATTCAAATCCTACCTCTTATCCTTAATATTAGATCTAATCAATGTATTTGAGAACATCAAGAAAGTTAATAAATTACCTTAACATATTTATATTTATATTTATCATTTCTCTTCAAACTAATTTGTCACTTTTATAAATTAATATATAATCTAATGGTATACATAAATATTTTAGAGAGACCATATAACATGTAATTATGTAACTGGTCTTATATTAAAGATTGTGGTAGTAATTTTGAAATTTAATGACTTTTTCTGAAGAGTATGTTATAAGGTCTCTCATATTTCACTTTATTCAAGTTCTTAACTGAAACTGTTTTTTATTTTAGCATAAAATATAATTATCAAATTAAAAATTGACCGACCTCACAAAATTCCAAATCTCTTGACTAAATTAGTGATTATTAAATTATATATGAACACTAATTTTCAAAATATTTTCACCATAAATTTTCAGAAAGGTTTATTTAACGTTGAGTCAATCACGCTTGGCGTGTTGCCAGGATCATTTGTTTAGCCATTTCTAAGTCTTTTATTTAAGTCTAAGTGAATGTTTGAATTAATTTTTTGCAAGTGATTTTATATTTACAAAATAAGTATACGAGAAGAATATTGTGTCATAAAATGTAAAATAGCTTTTTTTTTGTTTAATTCTCTTAATAAATCTTTCTGTTTTTTTAATGTCAAAGGAAACATAACTTTTTTTTCTCTAGCCACTTGAGTATGCTCTAAACTCTACCCCCTCTCGATATATATATATATATATATATATATATAATATAATGGACTTATTTTTATTTTCTTTAATTATAAATATTTTCATTCCGTTTAAAAGATATACGCATTTTTATTTTCCTTAATTATAAATATTTCCATTCCGTTTAAAAGATATACGTAAGCCTTCTCTAAAATTAAAATCGTGTTGCACAAATTTTTCTTTTATTTTTAATATTTCATATTCATTCACCATGACAGTACCATTATTTATTAGTCATTACATAATATATTTTAATTTTTTTTTTGCAAAAATAGTTTTTTTCAATGACTTGCAAGTACAGGCCCTTACCATGGGAATATTATTCTATATCAAAGCCATAATGCAAAGAAATATTCTATTATGCGTAAGTGCTACAGTGAAGTAATTAGCAAATCTATTTATCATGGCCAACACGTCAGTCAATATATGCGTTAACGAATAAAAATCAAAACCTTGACTTGTAATTCTGTTATGTAGGAAAAAAGGCTTATAATTCTATTTACAATTAGGAATTATAAGAATTAAATACACAGTGCACTAAAATTAATTTGTGTATTTTACATGCCCATGGTCTATATACTGAAGCATACCTGTTTTTAATGGCAAGAATAATTCCAATTTTTTCCCACCAATTCCTCAATCCAAGTCGGAAGAAGAAAGTGACTTGAGCGAGCGACCATCATGACAAACATTTTATCATACGTAGCTCTGCCTATAAAAGAAGCCTCATCTGTCACATACAATATCCTTCACTCCTTCATATTCATAGCCTTCCAATTTTTATTATGGCATTTCAAATCATCATCATCTGTTTCTACTTGTTCCTTCTTTCTCCTTCCCTTTCTTCTTCTCTCAACCCCCCATTATGTAATTCTCATGATTCCATAGCGCTTCTTCATTTTAAAAACTCTGTCTCTCTTGATCATGTTGGTCCAACGGAGTGTGATTTTTATGATGATGATGGCTACACCTATACTCCAAAGACAGCTTCATGGGGAAATGATTCAAACTGTTGCTTGTGGGATGGGATCACGTGTGACTCCATGTTTGGTTATGTGATTGGCCTTGACCTTAGCTGTAGTTGGCTCCAAGGTCAACTCCATCCAAACAATAGCCTCTTCCAACTTTCTCATCTCCAAACACTCAACTTGGCTTATAATGATTTTAGTGGGTCATTGATATCATCTCAATTTAGTAATCTTTCTACTCTCATGCATCTCAACTTAAGTTCTTCTGGTTTTGTTGGTGAAATTTCTCCAAAAATTGCAGAATTGTCTAAGTTGGTCTCTATTGATTTTTCTAAGAATTTAATTTTCTTGCATGATGAATTTTTGACGTTAAAACTTGAACTATCCACATGGGAGAAGCTTGTTCTAAACATGACTGATCTGAGAGAACTTGTTTTAGATGATGTAAATATGTCTTCCATTGCACCAAACTCCCCGTCTTTGCTCATGAATTTTTCATCCTCTCTGGTTTGTCTTAGCCTTTCAGGTACGACATTGCAGGGAAATTTAGCTAATAACTTTTTTCATTTACAAAATCTTCAAAAGTTAGATTTGTCGTGGAATGATCTCATGGGACAACTTCCATATTCCATAGGCCATTTGAAGTCCCTTGATTTTTTGAGTCTTTCGTATAACCAATTTACTGGGCCTATTCCTGTAAGTTTGGGGAACCTCACTCAATTAACTTATTTCAACTTTGTATTTAACAGTTTTAGTGGTGAGCTCTCATTTCTTTCAAATATGCCAAGGCTCACTTCTTTGGACCTCAGTCACAATTATTTTAGTGGTTTCTTGCCAGATGTATTTGGAAATCTTTCAAATTTGGAATTTCTTGATTCCTCTGACAACAAGCTACAAGGTAATTTTCCTGAGTCAATTTTTACCCTTATAAATCTTTCTGATTTGACACTATCATCAAATAACTTGAGTGGCTCTGTTGACTTTTACCAATTTTCCAAGCTTCAAAATCTAGTACATCTTGATCTTTCAAGCAACAAGTTTATTTCACTTACATCTGATGATAATCTTAACTACACCATTCCTAATCTTTGGGCCTTACATTTAGATTCTTGTCATATCACTATTTTTCCAAAATTCATAGGCCTTCCAAATTTGCGACAGTTATATCTTAATGATAATAAGTTGCAAGCTCTTCCTAAGACGATTTTTGGTTTCCTAAATCTCCATGAGCTAGGACTATCATCAAATAATTTGAGAGGCCCTGTTAGTCTTCATCAATTCTCAAAGCTTCAATATCTAGAATCTCTTGATATTTCAAACAACAAGTTTCTCTCACTTAGCTCTAATAATGATGTTCACTATACCATTTCCAATCTTACCCACTTAGATCTATCCTCTTGCAACATCAATGACTTTCCTAAACAACTAGGAAACCTTCAAAAATTAAAGAAGTTAAATCTTTCCAATAACAAAATTCATGGAGATATTCCCCAGTGGTTCAATAATGTAGGGAAAGGTCTTTTGGATACTTTGGATCTCTCTCATAATAACTTGACATCAATTGAACATCTTTCAATGGGAAACTTAGGGTTTCTTGATCTTAGTTTCAACTTTTTGCAAGGAAATCTCCCAATTCCATCCTTTGGTGTTGGATTATTTTTAGTGTCCAACAACAGATTCAGTGGACACATTTCTTCCTCATTTTGCAATGCAAGCTCACTTTGGATACTCAACTTATCTCACAACAACTTGTCAGGCCACATCCCAAAGTGCCTTATTGCTTTCCCAAATCTTGTAAGTTTAGATCTGCAGATGAATAATTTCGTCGGATCTATACCAAACAATTTTTCTAGGGGCAATTCTTTGCGATCTTTGCATTTGAACAACAATCAATTTCAGGGACGGTTACCTTTATCTTTGACCCATTGCAAGCAATTAGAAATTTTAGATGTGGGAGCAAACAAGATCAATGACAAATTTCCTAATTGGCTTGAAGGCTTACTGGAGCTACAGGTACTCATTTTAAGAGATAATGAGTTCTACAGTGCCATTTATAGTTTCAACAACAAACATCCTTTTCCCATTTTAAGAATTTTTGATGTTTCCAACAACCGTTTTAGAGGATCTTTGCCAACAACATATATCAAGGAATTTAAAGGAATGATGAATGTTGACTTTGTTTCGGCCAAACCAGATTACTTAGAAAACGGTTATTTTAATTATCAAGAATCAGTGATGGTCACATTGAAAGGTGTTGATTTGGAGTTGGTAAAGATCATAATTACATTCACATCCATTGATTTGTCAAGAAACATGTTTGATGGAGAGATTCCATATGTTATTGGCGAGCTGCATTCACTTAAGGGGCTTAATCTCTCCCACAATAAAATCACTGGTCCTATTCCTCAATCCATCGCAAACTTGACAAACCTAGAATCATTGGATTTATCATCAAACTTGCTTAAAGGTGCGATTCCTCTTCCACTAGCAGATCTCAACTTTCTTGAAGTTTTGAATCTTTCACAGAATCAACTTGTCGGAGAAATACCAAGAGGTAAGCAGTTTGATACATTTTCACAAGATTCTTTTGAGGGAAATTTAGGACTGTGTGGATTTCAATTGTCAAAAGCATGTAATCATGATAAAGGGAAATTGCCACAACCAACTTCATCAAGTAATGACAAATTTGGATTTAGTTGGAAACCAGTGGCTTTGGGATATGGATGTGGGATGGTGTTTGGAATATTCATGGGTCAAGTTGTTTTCTTAACTGGAAAACCTAAAGGGCTTGTCAGAATTTTTCAAGCTAGGCCCAAGAAACAAGCAAAAAAGACAAGGAAAAGAGCCTATCAGAATCAAAGAAGAGTGAATTAGGCACAAAATGTGGCTTCGTGTGATGTATTGTAATCTTCTTTTTTCCCCCATGTTTCCACTATGGTTATTATTTCATGTTTCTTAAATATCTTGTCAGTGATTGGAATGTAATGTACGGTATATTCTAATGCAAGTTATTGTCTTTCCCTTTTCTTTTTTTTTTTAAATGAAGTTCAAGTGCTTTGCCTTCATTTGTATGCTATGTACTATTTGATCATCATGTGAATAAAATTTTCCACATATTACCAACTTTTCTTTCTTTTTGGAACAGACATGTCATCAACTTATGTTATTTGAATTAGTTATCAACAATTCAACCTTTCTTGTTTAATTAATGATTTAAAGAAACTTTTAGTTTGTTCATTTCTTTAATTTAAAGTTCTATTAAAGGATTTTAGGCTTTTATAAATATGTGAAAATCACCTTCTACTTCGAGATTTTATGATCAATACATGATTATTTAGAATAATGTTGCAAGCAGGAATTTAAAATAAGCAAAATGATTTTATTTCAAATGTTGAACTCTTAACAACTTTTTCTTGTTTTTGCCAAACTCTTAAAATTAAAAATATGACAATGCAAAAGAGGAGCCTCAATTGCTTTCTTAATTAACAGTTAACATTCAACTGGGCTCGTCCTCTCATGAAAACCTTGGGCCTAAAAGCATTTTAGCCCATCAACAACATACATGATCCCTTTTTTCGTTAGTTCATAAACTCTTCTATTCATTTTTTCCCCTTATTTGGATTGAGAGAAAATTAAAGGGGAAAGAAAATTAGATAGAAAAATATGGAGAGAAATCAGTTTTTTTTTTCTCTATGGGAGAAAGGAACCCCTTGCTTGGATTAAAATAAAATTAGAGAGGAAAATATGAGGAGAAATGAATTTTTTTAAATAATAATGTAATCAAATTTTCAAAATCAATTCTAATTGAATTGATCCTCATCTTGATGAAATTCATTTAATTGATACATGTATTCACCAATTCGACATAGGCACAAGATTTTTCAGGATTAGATAGGAGAGAAAATATGGGAGGAAGGAAAAGTGGGAAAAAAAGAGAGGGTAAACTCCATAACTCATTTTCTCTCCCAATATGGAGAGACTTAGGAAGAAAAACAAGATTTTCCTGATTATCCCTTCTCTTTCTTCCTCTCACATTTATTTTCTTTTATTATATTTAAAAAATTATTCACTTTTTATTTTTTATCTCACAAGAATTTTTTTATTAAATAATTTGCTTTTAAAATATAATACTATAAATATACATATAAACCAAATGACTTGATTTGAAATGATTTGATGATGCTAATTAGTATAATATTCCTATTGCAATATTTAATTTGATTTAATTTTAAATATGATATATTTCGATAAGAGTATTTTAGTTATTTAGATATTTACTCTCTTTTTTTCTTATTATTTTTCCTCTCATATATCCAAGCAAGAGGATGATAACATGTTCTCTCTAGTTTTTCCTTCTCTCTATTCCTCCCCATTTTCTTTTCTCCCAACTCTTTTCCCATTCAAGCAGAATAGAAAAGTAGGGGAGAAAGTAAAATGAGCCACGCGTCTCATTTGCTCTTCAAATTTTCTCTTTATATATTAAGAGGTTTGGGAAGGAAAATAAGATTTTTGCAACTGTCCCTCCTCTCTTTTCCTCTCCAAATTTATTTTTTATTATATTCAAAAGATGATTCACTTTTTATTAAATAATTTGGTTTTACAATATGATAATATGAATATATATAACAAATAATTTGATTTTAAATTATTTGATGACGCTAATGTTAGTATAATATTCCTATTTTAATATTTAATTTGATTTAATTTTAAATATGATATATTTTGATGAGGATATTTTAGTTATTTAGATATTTGCTCTTTTTTTTTTTCCATTTTCTCTTGTCTATCCAAACAAGAGAAATGACAACATCTTCTTTTTAGTTTTTCCTCCTTCCTATTTTACCAATTTTGTGTTTCACTGTTTCATCTGACATCATTAAAATCCAATAAAAAATAAGGTTCAATGAAATATTGAAAATACAAAATAGGAAAGAGGACACAACAAAAAAACAAAAGGATAATAGGTGCTGGAATCCACCAATTTCTCCCAAAAAAATAATTTTCAAGTATGTATTTATATATATATAGAAGTTCATTCATACATTTTCCCCCTCATTTTCCTCCCAATTTTCAAGTCCTTCAAAAACTTCAACCAAGTCAATTCAAACAATCAAATGGTCATAATTAAAAAGAGGGTCTTAAACTAAACCGTTCAACGAGCCTCCATATAGGGGCGTCCCAAATTATGTGGTAATATATCTTTTAAAAATTCGTATATGCTTAGAATATAGGGTGTTAAATTGGAAAACCCCTCGGGTCAAAAAAAGCGGGAGACCCAAAAAAGTACAAGGTGTTGATTCAGCACAACTTGCTTGGACAACTAGGCGTTCCAAAAAAGTTGGGGTATGAGTCTTTCCTTCTTTCGTTCTTTTTTTTTTGGGATGCATGAGTCTTTTTTTTTTTTTTATAAGGCTTGTTTTATTTTTAATTTTTGTTCAGTTTGTGTGAGAGGATGCAAAGAATTGTAGAAAAAATAACAGCAAGATGTTATAAATAAAGAAGAAATTTAGAAAAGAATCATACAGAGGAAGAGATGATCAACAAAAAAGAATATTTCTCATTCCATTCAAGTGTGTTCAATTCATTATATATGGCCTCTATTTATATGCATAGTTTTATGCCTTTGATAGAATCTACAGATTACATAATAATATGAGATAATTGTGAGATATAGAGATAATAAGATATATTATAGATTATAGGAGATATAGGAGATAATGGGAGATATATGGGCATCAACAAAGATATTATTATATTCATAATACTTCTCCTTGGATGCCCAATATATATGAATGTGCCTCATTAAAAAACTTCAATGAGGAAAAACCCTATGGGACAAAAACCTAGCAAAAAAAAAAGAATACACCATTTATTGATACACTATGTAATGTTGCCTCATTAAAAACCTTGTTAGGAAAACCCAGTGGGACAAAATCATAAACAAAGAAAAAAGAGTACAATGTGTATCAACTCCCTCTTTTAGCAACAGTAGTTGACATCTTCGAGCTTGCAAAGTCTAATATAATGAACAACCCTTCCAAATATTATAATGAGATAACATCAAATATGAATTTCATAATCTTCTGAAAATCATGAGACGAATAGTCTTTTTATAGTTTACCCACACGTGGATCATACTATGATCTCTTGACATGAGGATAAAAAAGGAATACTCTATCTATATAGCCATTAAGATTAGTTTTGGGTACCTTCAGATAAAATAATATTACCTTCACAGTATCCTTAAAGTAACGAAGAATATTTTTAACTTCATTCCAACATCTTCATGTTGATAAAGAACTATATCATGCTAATCAGCAAATAATAGCTCAGATTCTGTATGGCTAGATAGATATATAAATGCTTCAGTGACACTAAGATATGGTACTTCTGGACCAAGTATTTATTTATTACCTTTTAGAGGTCTAAATCGATCTTTAGTCCATATCTAAAGATCTTACAACTACCTAAACATATAATGGAGGTGACTTATCCATATGTATTCTTTCAAAAGCTTTCATTTCAAATTTTTTCTTTAAGTAATTCGCAGCTTTTGAAAACTCATTAAGAGTTTTGATACTATCATCATAAATAGTACTGATAACAAACTCATTTTGAATCATTTCACAAACAGAAAAGTTAAAATATGTTTACATCATTCCTTTAATTGATATTAACCACATATGTCTCATATAAAGATTTACTTGAATAGTGTTCTTGAGAACATAATTGTGTGCTTCTAGAAATTAAAATCTTTTAAGGAGTTTCATACGTTATGATCCATATCTATTCATGTATTTGATCGTTTGAATTTATACAAGGATTTGAATCCTTCAAGGATTCATATAAAATTTCACTGTAAAGTGAGTCATTCGTTATAGTTATATATTTCTAAAATGCATGTGAAAAAAACTTCATTTATTACTAGACTGCCAGATTGATAAGGCATGTAATTTAATCCACCACAAAGCATTATTTCTCTTTACATTGTACAAATGCCTATTTATATAATACTAGCATTACACTTTAAGTACATAGGCTAGGGATACACAAATCCCTGTTATATTACGTCTTTTCTTTTGTGTTAGCCAACCATTTTTCTGTTTATATCTCATGATAGATTTATATATAAGATCCTCATTTGATCATGTGATATCATCAATAAAATTATTGTCGACAATTTTATTCCTTTATTGGTCCTAGTTTCTTTTATGACATAACATATCAAGATCTCTTTATTGCTTTTAGACACTTAAACCTCTTCAAGGGTCAAATAGTTATGTCTTAACCTCTTTTGCAATTCTTTCCTCCTTAGTATGATCATCATGACCATTTTCTCTTTTTTCTTTTCTTTTGGAACCGATCATAATCACATACTTTTAGTATCTCTTCAAGAATAGGAGCACTTTTAGCTGGAATATAAGAATTAAGAATTCTCATTTGGATCAGTAATTACGTCTAGCAGATATTAATAATATTTTATAAATGCAATACGTTATGAACTTCTAGTTTATACTACTATATTTGAGGATCCACATTTGATCGTAAAAATACATTCTATGTATTCTCTTTTCTAGCCACACATTTTCTCTTCTTCATATTGGGAACATACAGTGTAGATCTCCCAGATCTGTAAGTCTCCTTTAGAAACATTATTTTGTTTTATTTAGAGACAAACAAGAATAAGAAGATTCTTATCCAACAGTGATTCCAACTTATTTTTAATATCCATATATGTGCATTATTATGGTGGAATAATAGATATTGCACATTCTAAGATAGAAAATGTCTGGCTCCTGACCAAAAGCCAATTATAATGAGAGAATTCACAATAAATTGTTGGCTTGATGCATTTATGTGCAAAAAATATAAAA